CCAGCAACTAAGCCCTAGGGGGCACTTCCCGCTCATGTGCAACCACGATCCCGCCCCATCGCACGAAGGGCTTCCACGCCCGGTCACTCTCCTTCCAAGGTCCCCGTTCCGGGCCGATGTCAGCGGGAAAATGACTCACCCGAGGCCCCTGTAAAGAAACCTTTCCTGGGGGGGGATCATGTTCACAAGGTATCGTGTGCTTCTTAGCTGGCCCCTGCGCACCTGCACCCGCTCATGTGCAACCACGATCCCGCCCCATCGCACGAAGGGCTTCCACGCCCGGTCACTCTCCTTCCAAGGTCCCCGTTCCGGGCCGATGTCAGCGGGAAAATGACTCACCCGAGGCCCCTGTAAAGAAACCTTTCCTGGGGGGGGATCATGTTCACAAGGTATCGTGTGCTTCTTAGCTGGCCCCTGCGCACCTGCAGCCTCTGGACCTGATTCTTCTCCTATTGAGATCAACCTAAGTGTTCTGACTTACTGAACGGGAGAAAAAAACAACAACCTGGGGCTCCCTCGTTAGCCATGGAGGGAGGGCTTAAGGTAAGGGAAGGATTTTGTGTTGCCAGGTGACCTTCAGCTAAGTTCTTCCCGGTGCCCATCTCTTCATGATTGATGAAACTGTAGGGGGCAACTTTATAGGCAAGCAACTGTTTGGGGCCCTGTGCTTTAAAATTTAGCCTAAGGTCAAGAACAGTGCCACAGGTTTTTATTTTCCCTAACAAGTGACATTAAGGTCATTAAAATATATAGAAAAAAAGTTTGGTCCGTATTTTCATAGGGATCGTGATTGCGTATGATGAGAATACCACCAAAGCAACCCTATCTCGATACCTTGCCTGGTGATTTCTTGGTTCTTTAATATTCTCTACTGGCCCTTGCCTTTTAGAGGATTTCCCCCCTCCCCCCCAACATGCCTTTTAGGGGTTGGCCCTTAAAATTTGCAGTCTCACGGTGGCCATTTTGCAACTGGCCTCTTGTTGAATGCCCTTTCTTGCATAGGGGAAGTGCCTTTATGTAATTCCGTCAGGTTGCTTTTCTCGTGGTGATGGTCCACAACCCAAAATTGAGCTTCTGGCATATGTCTCCAGACTACAGTGTGTTCTTGCTTGGTGCTCACCAACTGTCAGGCCAGTTCTGTATTTCAGAGTCGGATTTAACAGTTAATTGCCCATGTGAGTTTATAAGCAGCAACCTCCTCCTGAAGCATTTGCAATGCTTCTTCTACCTTGCAAATTCCACAGTGTTCTTCTGGTATCTTTTTGAAAGGGGATTCCTTACCTTGTGAAAGTGACAAGTGTTAAGATCAATGCAAGGTCTATCCAGTCTTCAGCAAGTGGCTCAATTAAGAAGAGATATGGGCAGATGTGAATAGTTTCTGTAACTTTTACCATTACAAAAATCTGGATCGATTGTGAAGATTTGGCAAGAAACATGTTTTTATTTGACATTTGCAGTGAATTGTGAAATTTTGTGTCCCACTACAACATCATAACTGTTCTAAAAAAGGCTGATGTGAAATAGACTTGTGCATATTATTAGACAGCTGGAAACTGCTATGTGAGATACTGCCTGTTGCTTTGTCGCTGTTATTTCAAAGTTTTCACTATGATTTGTTACCTGGACATTGATTAGTGCCAAAGCTTTTGTTTAATGAAGTTGTTATATTTATTTTTTTCTTTCAGAGACTATACAAACGTTTTTGGTTTTGTTTTCTTAATAGTTGCAGTGTAAGAAAAAGACAAGACAACCAAAGAGTCATATCTGCAAACAGTGTAGATACTTGCAGATATTTATGGATACATGTAGATAAATCTTATTATAGTTAAATTGGAAAAAAAACCATTGGACGGTGACATTTATAAATGGTTTTCCTTCTTTTTGTGTGTGTGGGTGTGTTTGGTCAGTTTGTATTCTGAAATCAAAACATCTCTCTCATCCGAAGTAAGGTAACTTTGAAAAAGAAAGGCAGTATTAGGTCCTGTAAGTTGTTCTGTATAACCAAACTGAATTTTGTAAGGCTTCACATAGATATACCTCTGTGGAACAATTTGCAGGTTTAGACTTTAATTTGCAAGTAAAACTACACCAATAATTCTTTTGCATATATATTGTGCCTTTTTTCCCCAATACACACATACTGAGACCAATGCTGTTGAACATACTCAGAAATTATCTGGAAAAGATCTGGAAAAAGTTTGCAGACAAGACAAAATTATTCATGGTAGTTAGGTCCAAAGTAGACAGCAAAGTTACAAAGGGATCCCATGAAACTAGATGAATGGGCAAGGAAATGGCAGATTACATTCAATGTTGATAAATGTAACATAATGCACATTGAAAAACATAATTCCAGTTCTACATATGAAATCGTGCAAGTCT